GCGTTGAATGTAGGCACCAGTTTTGCAGTTTCATTCTTCTTCGAGCGATCTTACTGGCTGGTGAGATCGTTTGGAATGTATATGGGAAATGAGTAATGCAATGCAAATGAAATGGGAAATGCTTTCACAGCAAAAGATCTCATGCAAAGTTTTTGGAAGTAGAAGAATTGGTTAAATAGGCAATCCCCAATATCTGAAAACGCTGCAAGACCTCCCATATGTAGGTCTTGTACTCAGTAATCGTAGAAACCCTGGATGCGACAGCTAACACGCATTACTCAGACTTTAGCAGCGTTCTCAAAATTTAAAGATTGCCTATCTAAAACAAGTCCTCTACTTCTTAAAAACTTTGTATGAGGTTCTTTTGCATGTAAAAGCATTTCCCAATTCAGTCGCATTTCATTACTCATGTTCCATGTACATTTTCAAACGATCTCACCAGCCAATAAGATCGCTCGGGGAAGAATGAAACTGCAGGACAGATGTATACATTCAACACTTTCAACACCGGCAACACTTCCAACACTTTCAACACCGGCAACACTTTCAACACTTTCAACACCGGCAACACTTTCGACACTTTCAACACCGGCAACACTGGCAAACACTGACCGATCCCTTAGACGCCTTTTGAAATGAGACACATATATTTGAAATCAGCTTGGAACGCTGATTCCAGATGTGCTGTTCCTAGCTGCTTAGCATTATTCTGAAGTGAGTTATGGTCTCTTTATGCAAAGTTTGCGTGCTCCTCGACCTACTGATGCTACGGTGTCGATGTCTAGATGGTTTTGCAATTGCATATGCTCCCTTGTAAGATAGAATAAAGTTAATCTCATGCTAGCTCAACATCCTAGCACTTTTTTCGAGCAGATTTTTATCTACACGCCGTCTAACGACATTCAGAAGTTTGTTATTTACTCACAACAACAACCCCATAACTCGCTTTGGAATAACGCTAAGCAGCTAGGAACAGCATATTTGAAATCAGCGTTCAAAGCTGATTCCAAATATATGTGTCCCTTCTTAAAAGGCGAATATAACTTATCTTTGGTATCCTTCCTTTGTTAGTTCTCTTGTATGATGGCAATGGAACTCACCGCGCAATGATGACTATCACGAATGAATCGTTAACAACCACTCACTCCAAAAGTTTTTTTTCCATGAGAGCTCGGTAATTCTGCTTGAATGCGACTTTTTGCAAAAGAACAGATGCAGATTTAAATTGGTTTCTGAAATTTTTCAGGGCTTGCTAATTGCCATAAGGACAACAATCGCATTGGGCTACATCTATGTGCAAAACTTCTCGCGATTGCTCAGAGGAGATCTTCGAAAATTGACCGTTTACACAGTCGATGCTATGTGGCGCCGTTTTCGTAGAGCAGCAGACTTTTCATAGCTTTTTAGACTAACGCTCATGGCTTGCACATTAATCTGTCAAATATTAGGTTGATGCATAATTCCTGCACCAAAATAGGTACAGATCGCAATAATCCGAAATAATCCTATATCCCGAATAGGATTCGATATATCATTAGATAGAGCAAACCTAGCTTTACAAGATAGTGCTCAGATATATGCACCATTGATCCAAGCGAAGTTTTGAGCCGAAAACTGAAAAAAAACCATCCGAAAACCTCAAGACTAATCAAAACAAAATTGTAACTTCGGTCAAAAAGCTCCTACAAATTTTCTTTCTTGCTCACGCGTAGGCATTCCACGTAAGACATTTATCTATGCGGTTGCTGTATTTTTTTCTCAGCTAAACGATGAGAAAACGAAGTTTTTCATGTTTTTGCCAAATTAGTGCTGGGATGTTCTAGCACTAGCAGTTGTATAGTACATGCCGTTAGCAGTAAAACTTTACATTTTCGGCCTTCTAGAACTGCTAGTTCACGAGAAATGACGAATCTAGCTCTTTTTATCCAAATTTTTCTCGCGTAATTGCTAAAAATTCGATATTTCTCGTAAACCAGCCACTGTAAAAAGCTGAAAATTCACACTCATGCTTCTAAGGTCCTGTAGTATACAACTGTCAATGCTAGAACATCTCAGCATTGTTTTGGGAAAAAAACGTGAAAAACTTCGTTTTCTCAATTTCTAGCTGAGAGAAAAATACGGCAAGTGCATAGACAAATGTCTTACGTGGAATGTCTACGCGTGAGCAAGAAAGAAATTTTGCAGGAGCTTTTTGAACAAAGTTACAACTTTGTTTTGATTGGTCTTAAGGTTTTCGGGCGCATGGTCTTTTTTTTCAGTTTCCGACTCAAACTTCGCTTGGAAGCTGGTGCATATATTTGTGCACTATCTTGTAGAGCTAGGTTTGCGCTATCTAAAGATATATCGAATCCTATTGGGGATATAGAATTATTCCGGATTATTGCGATCTGTACCTATTTTGGTGCAGGAGTTGTGCATCAACCTAATATATCCATGATCTGCAAAAAATAATACCAAAGGACCCAATTTTGCTGGCCAGATGCCAAGTGGACGTTTGACGCGCAATTTTCAACTGAGCCCTCAGTGGATCCGTTCATGCTTCTGCATGGTGAGCTTTCATGCTGATAGCGTGCGCTATGCAAATTTTGGGCTCAGGACGATGGTTGGAACACGCTCTACGAATTTCGTAACGGACAGACAGACACACCCACAGCAAAAAGACGTAAACACCCTTCATATCGAAATCTTCGATGAACCACGGCTCGTGAGCTAGGATTATCGAAAAATTCACAACGTTCAGGTTCCATTTCTCCTGTCGAAAACATGCTCAGCAGTGTCGTAGTATATTCTCAGAACAACTATACCGCGTCTTCATTGAGTTTTTAAGACGATGAATGACTTTGAAAATAGAGGAGATCCCCTGGTAATCCCCAGGAGATCACATGAATTAGTGAAAATCCAATCTTGTAAGGCAAACAAAAATAGTTGCGACATTATGCGCAAGTACCCTATGAGACCCTCCATAACCCAGATAGGGAAAGAAGAAAAGATATTTGGAGTAGCGAGATATGACGCGTCCCTCTCACATCGCCTCCTTTCCCCGTGGGATTACGTGCATACGGGCCTTAAAGGCAGTGTCCAAGCAAAAAGTCGATTTCGAGATTTCGTGCTTACCTGGGCCTACGCCATGCTAGCGAAAACGGCGAAAAAGGCTCTAACGGAGGAGGGAAATTGCAGGTGGGCGGGGCTGTTCATATAGTGGCATCACTCTCCCAGCTTCAGGAGCGATCTTCTTGCTTCCGCTAATCGCACTAACATCACCACCACCCAACTGCGAAACGCATGACATAAAATCGGAACCGAGAAGATCGCTCCTAAAGCCCAGGAGTGTGACGTCGCGGTGTGAACGGCCCCGCCCACCTGCGATTTCCTTCCGGCGTTAGGGCCTTTTTTGGCGTTTTCGAGCTCTCCATTGTGGTTCATCGGACTCAGCATGGGAATAGGCCCGGGTAAGCACAAAATCTCAAAATCGACTTTTTGCTTGGACACTGCCTTTAAGGATCTAGTAAATCGCCAAAGAAGTACCTATATGCTTCTCCAATGTCGAATTTGTTTATGTGCAATTCAGCTTAATCTTTCCATGCACAAGGTGCTCCATAGATTATATATAGTTCATGTGCACACACTCACAGAGCGCAAAACTTCTGATTTTTATATAGAAACATAGAGATGTAAATGGAGACAATGTAAACGCTTTAGACGTTTTCATCAGCTTAGCAATTGCCACTCTAATGCACCCTGAGCGTGGCAAAAATTTGATTTGCTCAAGTATTTCATTCTTAAAATAAAATAAGTATTTCAAGTATTTCATTCTCAAAATATACTATACACTATTTCTTACCATTTTCTAGCACTGAAACTTATGCTTTCCTTTCCACTGGGATCCATAGCATAAAACCTTCGTTCTCAAGAGGAAAGGAGGGCTTCAATCTAAAGACCAGGGACGTAAAAGCAATCAATAGGGCGGCCGCTTCGCCTGGACTCTGCATCTCTTCCGCGAACATGCTCTCTGATCACTTCCCCAGAGCGAATGTGGGAAAGGCGGAGCATCAATTAATTGGAAGTGATTAGAGAGCATGTTCGCGGAAGAGACACAGAGTCCAGCGCGAGAGTGGAGATGCTGATGCAAGCGACACTGCGTTTGATAAGCCCTGTAAGTCTAACGTTTATATCATAATGCATAGTAGTAAAACGAAAAGCCTTTAGAGCAGGTCTGTAGTTGAAAAGAGCTTTTAATCGGTTGTGCATGATAATTTATGTTATCGTGTTCAAGATTTCCTGTTTGCAAAATCCGTAAACCTTTTTAGGATGCAAAAGCGACTTGCAACTGTTTTGCTCTGCAATATTAATGTAGTGTTGCAAACGTATATTGTGAAAGGACACTGCTAAAGTTCAAACTCGGTTTAGGTCTTCCTCCTTGAATACGGAAAACATCCAAACACTCATTGTTGTGTTTGCTATTTACGGACAAAACTTCCTCTTTGGAACGTGCCCGTTAGTACCTACGTGACAAAACTAAGTACAGTTTGGAAACAGGCTCAGCGTGGCATGTAAGCGCGATGGGGGATATCTGATGTACAATCGTAAGAAGATGTCTTGATAAAAAATGTGCTCATCTTTCTCAAATGATTCTACTAGCTCAAGCACGAGTGTAAGCGTCGAGATATCCAAAGCTTTGTTTTTTCTGCTATACCACAGCCCTGCCTAATAAAAACTGCCGTTTCTTTTCATTCGCTTTAGCTTCGATTCCTCTAATCTTTTCTTCTACACCTAATAAATGCTTGTTACAGTCAATTATTTGATCATTCAGATCTCAATAACTGTGCATATTTAGCGAAGAATCACGAGAAAGTCAATACCTTGACAGGCACGATCTCTTCAATTTGAAATTGTCAAACGTGATAGTTTACAACATGGAAAAAACATTACAAACTAACGAGTAGTTTTGGGAGGGATACTTTATTGGAGCACTTGAAATCAATTAATTTTCATTAATGAAGGTAAGCTACTGGTACAAAAGTAAGTCATTTCTTCGGCTTAGTTTTCGCTTGGCGATCTCTGAAAAAAATATGTTACCCTCTGTTCCTTGAATTTCTACCACGGTTATGGTAAAAGCTCTGTTACGTCATTCTATGCGTCTAGCTGCAGCTCCAAGAGTTGTGACTTATTGCTGTTGCAACGCTCCTGTTGTTCATTCGTAACATTTTAAAGCAAAACATTGCCAGTAAGTAAAATGGGTATCTCGTGATGGCAAGTTGGCCAATAACTTTGAGAGTTAAACATTCGCAGAAGCCAATAAGAAATTTTAAAGCAGAAGAGGTTTCAATAGCTTCAAACTTTATTCTGTTATGAATTACTCCAGAGTAGAACAAAAATGTTAGTAAAATCTAGCTAAGATTTTGAAAATCCTCGAAATGCATGAAAAAAGGAATAACAGTGAAATGTTGCGAACAAAATCAACACATTTTTACAGTATCAAAAAATTATCTCAAAAAGTATGAAGAAGTGAGAACAACGCAAATTTTCATTCATCTTGTTTTCGAAAATCAATAAGCTGAAAATTAGCAACACCCTCTCCTCCCCCCTCCCCTTTCTAGCATATGATGTGAAATTCACCACCTACTTGAGGTGCTTGAAAATCTGACTGGTCTGCTACGCTCGGAAAGAGTAAGTCCCAAGATAACGTCTAGCGTTGTTTTTCTCGGTCAAATGAATGGTTTTGATTAAAAGCTCCTTATCATTACTATCTGCTCAAAGGCAGTGGATCGGCAAAACTTAACGACTCAGAATTTTAACGCGATAGGTTCACTATCGCCCAAGTATGAAAACAGTGCAATCCTGGTTGCACAGCATGCCTTCCCTGCCGAGAAAATGGCTCTCAAACCTACACGCGCAGGCCAATCTTACACGCTCCCGGACGAGATGGCAATTTCCTCCTCACCATTGAGGGCTGCCCCCCGCAATGCTATAACCATTGGGTCCAGCAACGATCCAGGGAAGGGCATTGCAAAACGCTCGTTTTCGCCGTTTTCAAGCTCGCAGGAGTGGATTTTCGGGATCAGCGTGTTGAATAACCTCAGGTAAGCAAAAATTTGACTAGGTTGAGATTTGCCGAGCCACTGCCTTTAAGGATCAAGCATAGTGCATTTACTCTAAAACGTGAAGTGGCTGTTGAGACAAAAATCTTAGATCTTGTCCATTTGCCTAGAGCATCGCAGAATTTCATATACAGGGTGGCCTAAGGGGAGTTACGATATGTAGCATAGCTTTTTCTAGAAATAATCTATCATGACGGTCAATATACCTGTGGTGTGTGGAAAGTCTCCATATTAAGATGTTTGAAACGCAAAGCGACATCCCTTATTCACCAGACAATACTCTACAAAATCTCATGTCTAAACCTACTCAATTCGTAATTGGACAGCTACTTTTTGCAGTAGATACAGTAATGTACACTGTTGCAGTATACATACATAAGACATTTTTAAAGCATTAGCTTCAAGATAAACTGCTGAAGTTGTAGGTATGTACAGGAGCCCACTTTTTGAGGAAAAACTCATTAAGATGCCTTCGTTTTTGACAAAAAAAAGCTTAACAAAGTTCGTTTTTGTATGAAAAACTTTGGAAACAAAAATGTGACGCCCACACTTTTAGGCCACCCTGTATATAGCAGCATTGACATTTCAGAGCTTTCATACCCTCTAGGCCAACACAAAATTTGGATACTTACTTTATGTCTTGCACGTTTCGAGACTGCTTTTATGAACTTTGTGACAGTTCCAAAAACATTCTTCTTCTTGTCCCTTTTCCCTGCGGATACTCTCTGTGTCTCATGTCCTTTCGATCTCTTAGCCCATGCCTTTTCTTTTCTATGCAATATGTGTTCTCTGCTTGCAGCGAATTCGTTGCTCCCGAAAGGTGTACTTGGTGAAGACACGTTACAACTTTCCGTCCTGTCTGTAGCTGTCACTGTTAAGTCAACTTTTTTCTCTTTTTTTGAAGTTTCGTCGTCTTTGGTTGAAAATATGCTTGATTGCGAACCGCTCAGTGATCTTATCAAATCCATCTGATCTTTCATCCACCTTTCAGTAACTTCCCGATTGTCCTATAATACCTTAACATAGACGGAGAAATTTAAAAGTATCTCAATCATTCTAGTTGGAATGTGATAAAATCCTAATAGAAACATCTGCGAAATGAAAAAATTGTCTAGTTGACGTAAGTCTTAGTAAGTCCAAATCTTACACTTGAGTAGCAAAAAATAGATGATAAGAAAATCTCTACACAAAGTGGTTGATTACAGAGTTTGCGCTTGAGAGAATCTTATGAACGCTTTCAGAAGGCAAGTCCACTCCAGGACCTCCATATTCCTTATTTTGTTTATCTCCTTTTATGGCCTGTTTCGTAGAGTGCGAAGGCCTTAGAACCTCGTAAAACTGTCTTTCTAAATGAGTCATTTTGAATGGAAGTGGTACATCTTTGCTAAATGCGTGCGATGCAGCCAAGATACAGATCACCCCGGGACGTATGACGCCGATATTCTGTAAACTCGCTGCGCAGATTTGAAGAGAGCAGATTGTTTTAGAAAAGCTTCTCAAGAAACTACAATTGCAAATCTTAGAAGGTTGCTTTGAAAGCAGCGGATCGGCAGAAACTCGAAAGATTTTAAGCTTACTTGTGCTTGTCTGCCCGCTGATCCGAAATATGCAGCTCATAAAGCACGAAGAGAAAAGGGGCTTTCTCCAAAGCCCTTGTTTACATTTGGACGAAACAGCGCAAGCAGAGTCGTTGTGGGATCCTAGCTCATGATTTGTGATATGCGCGATCTGACTTGCACTCTAAAATTGTTGGGTGGGCGACACCCATGTGGAAAAGTTTGTATGGCTTTTGGAGCAAAACTAAGTTTCGCATATTCCTTTTTTGCTGTGGAAGATGTGACTCCTTTTACAGCTGTAAGCCAATAATAGATCAAATTTGACTGTTGTGGTCTTTCTTTCCAGAGTCAGCTGCTGATTGAAGCAATATACGTACTTTTGAATTTGGTTCGTGCAAATAGCGGGCGATATTGCAAATGAAAGCACGAGAACTAGCAGATATACTATAACGATTTTATGGAATATAAGCTAATTGTCTGTGTTTTTGTCTCTTTTTTGGAGAAGTCAATACTCTCAATACAAATAAGACTTTTTTTTCAGAACTTTTCAACTTAAGCCCCTCTCTCAGATTATCCCTCCAGATTATGGCTGCAATTCTCGATTTGTTCATTTGCAGGTTTCTACTGTTCCAGATCAGTCAGCATTTCCATTTATAGGAATGGACCAATCAACAGCACTATGTAAAAGCTTGGGTGAATCAATGTGTTTGGAGCATTCAGAAGTAAAGAAAGGGCAAATGTCGAACAGAGATGTTTGTGGAAGTGGCCGCAATGTGAATATCGGGAGAACCTATATTTCAAATTGGACAAGCGATCTCTTCAAAATTGTTAGCAAATCTCGGACCCCATCGCGTGCGGCAAAGACAAGTGTACTTTTAGCCGGTAGCCCACAAACCTGACTTCGTAGACTGTGTAATAAAACTGCAATCAGCATGGCAAATAAGCCCCATACTCAAAGCTCCGAACGAATAAGGAAAGATAGGAACTAGATCTTAATCTCAAATGGTAATTGAAGGTACCTAGGTCTCACACCTAGAACATCATTAATACAAGCACTGTTTTCTCTTGAAAATTGAGGCAAACAAAATGCTATGTTGCACACGTCCTTTGCGTTGACGTTCTACGTTGCAGCTTTGTTCGTTTTTTCATTAAAGTCTTATACAAAACGGCTGACACATCTACATAAAAATTTCCGAAAAGTACGAACCTGGATCCTCGACTTAGGATGCCTTAATACCGCGCCAACAGCCGCCGCTAGCCCCCTGTGCCTACTTTTGCGCACTACTCCAGTATTCTAGGTTTCAAGACGTTGAATGATCATGCTATTTGTAAAGCAAGCCAAATAACCCCACTAAACCATGTTTGAGCAAAATTCATGGCTTCGATATTAGGGTCCGGATACTGGAGTGCGCAAAGGCAGTTAGCGGCGACTGTTTTCGAGGTATGACGCGATTGCTTGATATGCTTCAGTACGAAAAAACCTCTAGGAGTGGAATGCGACAGAAGTTTTCCCGAACTGAGCAGCGTGCCGCTATAGGCCCCGGGCAGACTTCAAGCGATTTGATCGTCGCGACTGAATCGCAACGAGACAACTGTTACAACATCATTCCATGCCGATCAACTTGCATTTCGGTTGTGATATCTATCCAGCCCGAAATTTTTGAATGTGAAATGAAAATGAATGGAAATGTCGGCGATTGAGTCGCGACGATCAATTCGCGTGAAGTCTATCCGGGGCCATAGGCTTCAAGGTTGTTGCGTTCATCCTGATCCGGAAGTTCTAGCAGAGTGCTCGAATTAAGCACTGTGCTGAAACTGTTCCCGAGCTTCCGGTTCAGTATGAACGCAACCTTAAAGAGCCTAAGCTTTCGAATTTTTTGCAGAATAGATATTCACACTGCCAAGCTACTCAATAGAAAAGTGCTCTACTATGGCGATGAATTTAATGTGAAGGATCTCCTCAAACTCAATGTTGAGCGGTGTGCTAAGTGACAAAGGAAGGCTACTGAAAAATGTAGCAAATGTTGTTTCCTCGCATTCTGTTTTCAAAAATTGCTTCACTCACTTGCAATGTGCTACAGATTTATCTGTCAACCGACCTTGTGTGTTGCATCGTTTATGGAGAAGACGGGAGAACGCTGTATATTTGCTTGTTCGGATTTCGCAAGTTTCTCCTCGGATTTAAACTTTTGTAGTTCACTTTTATCTCCTTCGCTAGGATATTCATCTGTACATGGAGTCACAATAGGATTAGAGATGATTCGCTGTAAAGAAACATTCCAATTCAATATTTATTGATATGCGTTCAGTGCACCTTGTGACTGATTTTATCTGCGTGATCAGTTATTTGTACGAGAGGCCGTTGTTTTGTAGCTTTCAAAAAATTTGGAGCAATCCATTGTCCTTCAGTATTTTCAGAAGGGAACTCGTCAGTGACAGGGGTAACAATCGGATCAGATAAGCATTTCTGCAAAATGTACTTTTATTGAAGGATTATTGTTTTATTTGATCAAGAGTATGCTCTTTAGCGTATAACAAAATTTTATTCAGAATAATGTATGAACAATGTACCGAATGCAAAAACTCTGAAAGATCCAACTCTCTAACTTGCAAAGCACTTCTCTTAAATACGTATTTTCTGGGCACTTTAACCTGAGATCAACTGAAAGGTGGAAGATACGAAAGACGTTTTGCGAATTGGACGCGGCCGCAAGGGCCCAAGCTGATGGAATTATGTATCGCGTTACTTTTTTTACATCCTTGCATTGATATTTCTGATTATTTATTGCATAAGTATCAGCTCATTTTTTATAAAATCGGCGAGTCATTGAACTGAACACAGGTATAAGGAGTTAGGAAGATAAATGATCTGTATATTCAAAATAGTGTACTTTTCGAAGATTCAAAATAAACTGTCAAACTATGTAAGCTCTTACCGCTGCAATATTCCCGATATTTTCTGGAGGCCCAATAATTTTCTCGCCCCGCCAAACTTGGCTCGGTTTTTCCTTCTTTGGAGTCTTCTCCATAGGAGTCAACGACTTTTCGGTGAGTTTCTATAAAGCGTGAATCATTTTAAGCATGATCTTGTTAAAACAGACCAATCCATGCGTGTTTTCCGGAGTCTTGAAGATCTGTGCAGTTTTGCTCGGCGGTGGAGCACGATCCACTTCTTTCGGCGTTGCACTCCTTCTGACCCTCACCGGTAACGACCTTTCCTCTATAATTTTCTTTGGTGCTGTCCATTCACCATCCCAATTTTCAGTGGGGAATCCGTCACTAACAGGAGTGAGAATTGGATTAGACAGACATTTCTGCAAATTTCGAAACAAAAACTATTATCAGAGGAGGCGAAACTTCTATACTTTCATTCCTTTCTGAGCTTGTTTTATTTTTCCCCTTTCTTGAATATCCGACTTTTTTTGAGGGAAGGCCATGGGTTGCTCAGGTATAGTCGCCTATAAAAAATTTACATCACAAAAATTGCGCCCGTGTTGTTGTGAATCGTTCTTCTTTCGGAATTGCTTTCGATAACTATTGGTGAAGCTGGGGTTGATGATGTGATATAACGTGACTAATGAAATCGTGTACAACATGCGCTCACATTTCAGATTTTGTCTTGCTCAATTCGCTTAATCTAACAGAAGTTTTTTAAGATTCCTTTGGATTTCTGAAATAAATACTGACAAAATACCTCAAAGGCAGTGTCCGGGCAAGAACTTGATTTTGAGATTTTGTGCTTACCCGGGCCTATTCGCTATGCTGAATCCGAAAATTTACATTGGAGAGCGCGAAAACGACGAAAAAGGGCTCTAACAGTGGAGGGAAATTAGCAAGTGGGCGGGGTCTTCCCCACTGTGAATTCACGCTTCCAGCTTCCAGAGCAATGTTCTCGAATCCATTAGCCGCCCTTACATCACTACCGATCAAGTGCAAACGAATGACTTGTAACCGGAATCAAAAAGATTGCCGCCGAAGCTGGGAGCGTGAGTTCACCGTGGGGAAGACCCCGCCCACTTGCTGATTTCCCTCCAGTATTAGAGCCCTTTTTTGTCGTTTTCGCGCTCTCCAATGTGGATTTTCGGATTCAGCATAGCGAATAGGCCCGGGTAAGCACAAAATCTCAAAATCGAGTTTTTGCCCGGACACTGCCTTTAAAGGCAGCGTCGTGGCAGATATGAGCCAGCTTCTGGAATAGCCCTTTCGACATTTTCGTACCCTGCAAGTTGCATTTTCGGAGTCAGCGAGAAGAATAAGCCCAGGTAAGCGGAAAATATTTTGTTCAAAATTTTGCCCGGACGCTGCCTTTAAATACATGAAAGATCTTTCCCGGCTTGTACCGTGCGATGGGTATGTTATACATATGCGCACATGTTGACGAAACGAAATGAGCCCGGCTGAACTTCACCGTGCACTTACTGATGTGGATAAAAAGATTAATGAAATCATCACGTAATGAATGATTGCAACGTTTGATAAGTGCTTGACTGTTCTATTCAAAACACCGTCAGGATTCTCCGCATTATTCGCTTGTCTGGTACAGCTACCAGATATTTTTAGGATACAGGTACAGCATGTGCATGAGATGGAGGTAAGCAGCAAAGCCCTTGTCCGACACTGAAGCTCAGCCCTTGGCCTTAATGGTTGCCTTTCCTCCTCATTTTCGCCCTTATTTATGTGGCTTGCGTAACATATCATAGTAGGCTAAGGTAAATCCGCTACCACCAAGTAAAGAGATCTTGACTTTCGAACCTAACACAAATAGGTCTTCCACAGGGCCAACAGACCAAAAGATTGCTCTATTACGAGTGGACATGCCACAAACCCAAATCGCTATCAGCATAATACCCTAGTAATTAGGTGAGGAAAACTGAAATTTCTTCGGCCCCACTGTGTAAAATCTGACATAATGTTTACAAGTGACAGATTGCCATTGAGTCTTGCAAGAAATCTGAGTTTTTCAAGAAAATCTCTTTGATGCACTCCTACCTTATGCGCTGGCGCATAAGCCTGTTTTTTATCTTGCTTCTTTTCTTCTATTACTTCTGGAGCCACCCAATCACCTCCCCGATCTTCTGTAGGCATGTCATCAGTGACCGGAGTAAGGATTGGATTGGAAACACACTTCTGTAAACGTTTTGGTAAAGCTTGAAAATTGTTTGGTAGTTTGTGTCAACCTGTGCTACTTTTTGAGCTTGAGCTTTTTGGAATTCTTGCATTTGTGGAGGAGTAGAAGATAAGTTGACAACCGGCTTTGATGCCTCATTTGCGGTCGTTGTTGCTTGCGTAACAATTGCTGTCTATGATATTCATTACGTGGTCACAAGAACAAGAACGATTTTATCTTGTAAACCACAGTTCGGAAGCAGGCTTACTGATTCTCGTAATAGTCCTTGCGTAAGCTTTTTCGTACCGAATTTATTGATATTAGTTTTGAGCTATATTAGGAAAAGGAGGGCTGGAGTGGCCTTCTCTTTTTTTTTACGCTCTAAGCTTTTTTTTTAAAGAGCTAATTCGTAATTATCAACAACACTCTTGGGGGCATCTATCGGACACAAACTGTAAAGAACCTGTTCACTGAAATTGGTTCAAAATGCAAAGTAGTGTTAGTCAATTAAAATCTTCTTTTTCTGTCTAGTCAGCCTACGCTATAAGAGGGTGTTTCGTACACTACATACATAGGGAGTAATTTGTCCAAATATCAACATTCACCTTTGGTGGTTCTGGAGCCATTTTAGCTAGCACTTTGAAGCCAGTGGCTGCATCATGCGCTTGTTGTGGGCTCTACAAACAAAATAACGAATATCGGTTTGAGTAAAAGAGTACTTGATTTTGCTTATAAGCTTACTGGAGCTGCGGCAATCATCTGAGGCTGAGAGGGTTGCAACGGCGGTGTGCAACTCTGCAATGAATAATGAGATTTTGATGATGAAACAATTTGAATACGGATTGGAGCAGTCATGGAAAATTCGAATCTCTCTGATGAGACAATCACTCATCTGGGCAGAGTGAATCGCACGCGAAATTGATTTTGGGGACGTGACCAAGAACCCCTCTTATAACGCGCAAGGAAACGCTGTTTTGCGCTAAGGCATAGGCCATACTTCGAGTCCAAATCCTGGTATCTACACGATCTGGCAATTCGCCCGATATTTGCAAATCCATTTCAGATGCATAATCCATGCTTTCTGTAAGCTCATGCGAGTATACTGAGTCTCCTTGCAGAAGTTTTTTGCAATTCAAATTGCGCTTCTAGAATCTGTCTTGGTATGGCCGATGTCTTGACCATGAATATCTGCTGACAGTCGGATTCTGTTGCAGCGTTTCGACTTTCAGCAAATCAATTCGAGTTGATCGTGATCTAAGCGTCTTCTTCTCCTGCTTACAACTCTGTCTTCATTGTTAGTACAATCGCTGAGTCGACCATTATATCAGCACCCCAATGGCTATTTACTTGCTGTGCCTATTACCTGAGCTATGACGTTATTTTGAACAGTCAGTTGCTCCGTCGGCGCTGCAGCATGTTGGATTGGCTCACGCTGTTCTTCCATCGTGGCAGAAGTCTCTACTCTTGGTGGCACGTTCATATTAGCGAGGAGCTGCGGTGAAACTTCGGCTACCGAAGTAAGACATGGAATAGGTTGGGTCTGTATTGCTGCTCCAGTCGGCCCACTCTGATTTGGCGGATTCTAAAATAGTGATTTTTATACGAGATGAACTTATTGTAAGAATTTGAGAGGCCCACCATGGTTTCCATAGTCATAATCCGAGCTATTTGATCTGGTATTTGTTCAGTTTTTTCCGCTGGCACAATCATAGCTTGAGTTGGCATCGAACCCTACAAATTCCAGATATTTTCCCTTTCGAAAAAAGGGTAGGAACGTACGGAAATAACGGAAGCTGCGGAAACTCTCTGGTTCTGCAGCAACATCTCAGAAGTTTTGTTTACAGACGTTTCTGTCGGCACTCCAAGTGGTGTAACGGGTAACATTATAGGCAAAATTAATAATGCGGGGCTCTGAGTTAGAATACAAACGTCAATTTACCACATTTTTTCAAGAATGCATAGAAACTTCGCACTTCATATACTGCTTCTTTATTTTCCTCAGATACTTTGTTCTCTTCATTTCTTGGCTGCGTTGCCGGAGGTGCATTCATGGGCTGATTGATGGATGCATCTGATTTCTGTGTTTGACATTCTGTATTGTGGCCAATGTCCTAAAATTATAATTCTATGTAAGTTGTGCTTGTCATGAGTTTCGCTGATTTCTTCACAACATTCAAACATTTATGATGTTCCTCCACAACAAAATTCCATATTCCTATTGTACTGGTTGATGCACATCGATTAGGTAGCATCAATTGTGGAGTCGTATTGAGAGAGAGCGTGAAAGTTGTTAAGGCTTTAATCCGTAACGCCCTTTACTAAAATAAGAGGAGTAGACTGCAAGTTCTCCTAACACGTTTAGCTTCTGCAGTTATGAGACTATCGAAAGGGACAATTTTTGCATGAAGCAATGATCAATAGTGGCATACATTGTTGAAAGCATGCTCCAGTCCATAGTACATCTACGCTCATCCTTTGCAATTTTCTGGGGAAGGTCTGACTAATTCGGTACTAGGTACGCATCTTTACTTTCATGTACTTTTCCATAACCATAATGGTTTGGTCCACTTCATGGTTTGCTAGCGCAGCATGACTAAGCGGTGCATAAATGCTATAAGATGGTTCGAACTCACGAATTAGCTCAGCTAAAGCAGAACCACAGATCATACTTCCAGGATCCGCTGCCACTTAATTGACACCGCGACTTAAATTCGCAAAGGTGAAAAATCCGCGTCATCTAAGAGGCAGCGACATTTTGACACAGCCCTGGAACGCTCTAGCCCTGCTATCTAGGGTAAGACAGGAAGTTCTATAACTTTTCAACTTCATGGTAACTTTCAACTTCCCAATGACCCTGCGCACTGTGTTCGTCTGCCGCTTAGGGTGTCGAATGACAACACGGCCAGTGAGGAGCGAAGGAATCTTAAATGCAAAGCGAGACGTCCATAGATACTTTCGGCAACTCTGCGCTCTCGTAGATACTCCAAACATCGTAACCCATCGGTTGGTCACTTCTTTATTTCTTATGAGATTCTATCACATTTCTACCACTCCGCTCTGCGTAGGAAGATAAGCGTGACCAATGCTGGTCATCTACAAAAACAGCAGGGAAGGTGAGCTGACAATTTCTACGGGATGCTTAAAGACGCCATCTACAGGAAGTTGTTTTCTAAGACGCCAATGCAACATGAAAACACAACAACTTAAAAAGAGGCAGAATTGAAAAATTTGGAATGGGTGGTCGAAACGATAATGGAGACAGACTCGTTGGAACTACCACAGTGGCTCCTCTGTTTCATGGTGGCAACTTTTTCTTTACGAAAAGAAAGAACGTAGTCATTGGACCTGAGA